ATATATAATATATATATATATATATATACAGTGAAACTTGGATAATTCGAATCTCAGGGGACCGTTAAAAAAATTCGAAATATCCAAAACTTCGAATTATCTAAAAATTCGAAATAAAAATATATCTACAAAAAAACAATTATACCTACAAAAACATCTGCAAACGATAAAAATCAACAATTCGTTCCTATTCTTGCCGGAATTTTGTAACACGAAAAAAATTGGTCAAAAAAATGGGAACTAAATTCGGCCAAGAAAACAACAAACATTTGCAAGCTATAAAAATGAAAAATAAATGGAAATAAAAAGAAATTCGAAATTTTTTGCTGCTTTTTAGAATTTAGCTTCTCAGCATTAACAAAAGATTTTAAGGTATTCTAAGGTGAACTAAAATAGAGTGACTTTAAGTCATTTTTACTCTAAAAGTACCATTCAAGTTGTATAATATGATTTGATACTTCGGCTGTACTGCAACATCTTTATCCACGTTGGCAAAATCTTTATAAGAGACGAAAGGATCAGAAATAACATCCTCCCAGTCGTTGACTGAAAGCAGCTCTTATGTTAAAGTGTCGGTAGCGTGTTCTATGTTCTCCTCATTTTTTACGAAACTAGCCTTTTTAAACAATGTTTAATCGTTTCGGGTGTTATTTTCTCCCAAGCTTTCTTACACATTCGAGAGGCTTGAAGAATGTGTAACTTTTTTTCAAGGGAGTTGCAATCTTCCGTCAATATGTTTTCAATCAAAAAACGTCTGTTAAAATATTTAAGATTTTTTTAATGCCCTGGTCCATAGGCTGGAGAACTGAAGTCATGTTGGCAGGAAAAAAATAACTTTTACATTTTCCATTAGGGGGATAGTGTTGTAGGCAGGCAGTACAGTTGTCAATAAACAAACTAACGTTTCTTTTTTCTTTTATGAACTTTTTCTCTAATTTCATTAGGTATTTCTCGAAAAGATTTCTAGCCATCAAAGCTCTTGCGCTGCTCACATACTCCACTGGTTTTGACTGGAGTTCTTAAAACAACGCCGATTAGCCGACTTGCTAATCATCAGTAGAGGCAACATTTCTGATCCGTCCATGTTTGCACCAATTAGGAGAGTGACTCTTTCTTTGCTTAGTTTTCCTCCGTGACATTTTTTATTTTTAAATACAGTGTTTTGGCAGGGGTGCGTTTAAAAAAGTCCCGTCTTGTCAACACTAAAGATATCTCTTTCATCTATAACCTGAATCATCTCCTCCCATTTTTTTTCCTTTCGTTGGCTGCTTGCTGCCGTCTAGTCACCCTGTACTCGAATTAAAGTTGTTTTTCCTCATTTCAATAACAAATTGTTCAGATTTGCTTATTATAAGGAGTTCATTCACGGGAATCTCCTTATCCCTGGCTTGTTCGAACCATTTTAAAACACATTTGGGTTTTCTGGCTCCCTTAACATTTGTTGCTCTTTACCGCACTCACTTTCACTCTTGAGATTTTTTCTCTATTTTTCAAGTAGGTATATTTACCTATTTGAAGAAGTGGTAGGTAGTAGGTAGAAAAATTTCAAAGTCCTGGGAATCTCAGATTTTTTCTTTGTTTATAATTCCCTAGTACTACGCGCTGGTTTTTTGAAGCGAACTGTCTATACTGGCGTTGTATTATTTTTCTTTATAGTATAAAATTCTGAGGCGAGCTCCACGGAACTAGCGCCAGAAGATGGCGTCGTCACGGAACTAGCACCACAAGATGAAGTACGCTCCAAGTAGGAGCTTAACTATATATACATGGCGCTAAATTCAAAAGTTTAGCAATATTACCCAATATTACCCAATATTGTGAACTCATTTTAAAGTAAAGGAAAATCGATATAATCCTAAAATATGAAAAATCCTTATCCTATACAATTTTTCGTATACTTTTTGGGTTTTCTTGTTATGTTGAGACTGTATTTATTTTCATTACATTAAAATGCCAAAGCGATTAAAAAAAATTAAAGAATAAAATATAGAATAAAATCTTTATTTATAAAAATGTTACAAGAAATGTTATATGTGTTACAAGAAATATTAATAATACAAACCAAGTGTACTATAATTTAGTTTTCTTAATGTTGTGGCAAGAAGTGGTCAATATTTAAATAATTGTTTTGTCATTATTATGTCATTTTATGTGAATAAAAGCCTAATTCTGCAAAAGGCATTTTTCGCAAAAAATCTAAAGATAAATCCCTAGAAGATAAAAATAAGTACATGCTTTTAATAAATTTAGTCTATGATTACATAAGCGAAGCAATTAATAGGGAAAACCAATTGCTTTTTTCACACATACTCTGAATGAGAACATGCAATTGAAAAAAAGCAAATTCGTTGTAAAAAAAGTATTAAAAAAATGCAGACATTATCTGGTAGGAAAGCAATTCAAACCAATAACATATTAAATCACTATTTTGGTTATATAGAATGCCGGCATGTATAAAATCTGACAAGGAGAACTATAGCTTTACTTCACAAGAATTTAATACTTACGTACACTCTAAAGGAATATGTTCAAGTAGAACAACACCATATAACCATGAAGGAAATGATTAAGTCGAAAGATACAATGAGTTATATGGAAATTGGTGAATCTAGCATTGAAAACCAAATATTTAGACATCACTAACTGGAAAACTGCTTTACCAGGAGCTCTGCACTATATACAAAGTTTACTGTTGAATTCTATTGTTATATTATTGAATCACGATAATGATGAAGATGAAAGTCCAAATAACACACTAGAGAATTCCACTACTAAATCAATACCAGATGTGACAGAAAATTTACCTGTTCAAAAACCTGATGATAACTATGAATCAAGATTGGAAAATTCAGATTTTCAATCTAGCTGTAAATCAGCTGAATCTAAGAATAAACCAAGATAGTTGCAATATTTTGTTCACAAATAGGGACCGGTTAATGTAGTATAATTGAGTGTTCTAAATGTTGTGACAAGAACTTGTCAGTATTGCAATAATTTTTTTGGAATTCTAATGTCAAATTATAGCCTAATAAGCAACAGATAGCCATCAGACATTCTGAGTTCTTTGTAGTACTTACATCCTAATCTAATAATCTTTGTAGTACTTACATCCTAATCTACTACCAGCGGTCAGTGAGAACTCTAACTGTCTGGCGTTCTACTCACAGAAAGACAGAACTCAAGAACTCTGCTAAGTTGGAAACAGAAAAATTAAATGATTTAGTTCTAGAATAAAGTTTATATACATTTATATGATAATATTATTACTCATATTTAAACCTATAAACCCAACAATTAGCTCTAAGATTTTAAGATCCAGCACTATAAAGATGGAAAAATAACATTAAAAAATAAAAAAATATGTTAAGTATTACCTAGTTACAATAAAAACATGAAGTATTTTACAAAGTTAAGTTTCCAAACTCTATGTTACCAGTAACTCTTTTCTACTAATATTTATATATTTATCAAGAGACATATTAAATACATTTAGGTTTAGGTTGTTCTACAAAATGGAACATTAAAAGTACATAGATGAGACAAACCCATGGACGTATAAACATAGATGGACACACAAAGGTCACATACATACATATATTGACATAATAGTTCTTACCTGGTGCTGGTAAAAACAAACTCAGAACGGCTGTTCTCGTAATACCGGTATGCGCAACATTAATTATATCTTCCTCTTTAAAATGACTAGCGCATACACGAAAATTGTAATAAATAGTTTCTGTTGCAGCATTCTACCATTTATCAAACATATCCATATAATGTCCTGGACTTGAAAAACTGTATTGTTTGCCAGTAGTATCCATGCAATCTGAAACACATATTTCTTGTTCAGTTCTTCGTCTCTACATTGTTATTCCATGTAATGTGTTCGAGTCCATAATAAAAAATCGTCTAAAATTGTATCTTTTTGCACTACTGATTTAAAAAATTTTAAATTATAAAATAAATTTTAAAAAATAAAAAAAAATACAAATGTGGCACCGTATTTCTCTAAACTCAACTTTGACTTGACCACAGCACACTTCCTCCGCGTAGGAACGAGACTAGCAGCGCCACCAAACGAATGGGCACTAAATCCGAATGTGATTTGACCTTCGCTATCCCTGTTACCAATCTAGGTTTAATTTTATCTATGGTTTACTTAATGTTCACATATAAATACTCCAGCATAATTATTTTTAGAATTTAAACATTGCTAATGTTATTTAAAACATTATTTATATTTTCTTTTATAGTGCATCCATGATATTTAAACTTTTCAAATAATCAAATATTTCCAAAGGTTTACTATATATTTATATTTCGGCCTGATTATGTTGTTATCTGCTAGTGAGCATAAACCTATTATGTCGACATCATTCAGAAGTTCTTGTAAATCATCTAACGCATCTGCGAGTATATGGCACTGTTATCAACATAACGTATTATGTTTAGGTATTATGTATTTATATCCTGCAACCTGTTTAAATTTCTGATAAACATTAAGTGAATCGTTGCTCATATAACCTCTCTACCTTGTGACATTCTTCTTCTAGCCACTTTTATTTAGATAGTCTTATTGTATTTATTTTATCCCTGTTTATCATGTTGTACTGGCTATTACATTTTATTGTAGCTATACGTCAGTCTTCCATTGTAACAAATATCTTCTCTCTGTCGTCTAACATTTTTGTAAACTTCGCTTATTATAGTCAATAACTTTTTATTGCTTTATGTTTTTTATGTTTATTGCTTTATGTTTATGTTTTTTACAATATTGTGCAATAATTCCAATCTTTTAATTTTTTCTTTGATTGTATTAGTTTTACCCTAAAATTAAAGTCTTCCATTGAAAGATTTTATTCTGAGCCGCATATCCAGGATATGCAACGACCCCTATCACGTTATTTTAAAAAAGTTTATGTATTATAAAATAATTGATTTGATTTCTCACTCTCTGTTGTAGAATATATCTGTATTTGTATAATATAATACAAATAAAAATGGAGGTATCATTATATCTAAATAGTTGTTAGTTAGTAAACATGTTTATTCTCCATATTACATTTTACGTTTAAATTGCTTTAAAATTTAATAAATATTTTAGATTGGAGCACTAGTTTTAGCAGTCACCGCTGTTGTCAGATCAGGTGAGGCTACAGAAAGAAAGAATAAAAAACGAGGAATTTTATCAACTAATATTGGAAGCGGCTACGAAAATAATCATGGCAGTGGTGTAGGACTAGAAGTTGGTGGTGATCATGGTATAGGTGGAATAAATCTAAGCGGTCATGAAGGTAAATAACAAAACATAACATAACATAAACAAAGATAAAACTACCTCTAAATACCATTTCTTTTATTTTTTTTATTTCTTTTTAAATACTGATTTAATTAGTTAATATTTATTCTTTCCTTCTTCTCTACTTTTCTCCTACTTCCTGTTTAAATAAATAATTACTGACCTACTATTTACAACAATTATTTCTTTACATATTTTTGATAATGGAATGCTCCATTTATATACTTCTGCATTTTTTGTCTACTATGATTAATTACAGTCATATCCTACAAATCCTATATACGTTCATATAAAATATAATAGCTTAAAATATAATATTCTTTTATATTTATGAAGTTTCACTCAGTATAAATGATTTAAATGTATAAACAAGTATAATTTTTAAAAGTCTCTATATCCGTGTTACTTTCCCCTTAAGCAAATATCTATAGATTTTTTTGAATTAAAAGATGAAAATCTTTATTAATAACATATTATATTTAGGCAGTTTTGGTGTGAATCGTGGTTATGGCGGTTTTGGAAGCGGGGCAGAAGCAGATCTAAGCAGCGGCTTTAGCAGCGGAATAGGCGGTGGTGCTACTGTTACCACTATAAATAGAGCTGTTCCAGTTTCTGTTCCACAGCCCTACCCAGTAACTGTTAACAGGCCAGTCCCTGTTCCAGTGCCACAACCTTTTGAAGTTCCTGTACCTAGACCCGTTCAAGTAGGTTACATGACAAATTTTATTAACTGTAATGACATGTAAGTAATTTTTTCATAGTTTAACTGTTACATGGTTTTTGTTTTATTGTTTTAGGTACCTGTCCCCGTTGCTCAACGTATTGAAGTTCCTAGACCATATCCAGTTGTAGTAAATCGTCCAGTACCTGTTGCTGTTCCTACACCGGTACGTGTACCAATTCCACAACCTGTCAGTGTTCCAGTACCCCAACCTTACCCAGTTACAATCCCACAACCTGTTTCAGTTAGAGTACCTCAAACCATCGTAGTTCCAGTTGCTCAACCTATTTTTGTTGGAAGTGGTAATGGTGAAATTGGTGGAGGATTCGAACAAGGCATCGGACAAGGAATTAGTAGTGGATCTTTGGGAAATAAATTTGGAGGATATAGTCTTCTAGGTAGACATGGGGGTGGCCTAGAAAACCATGGTGTTTCCTTAGGGAACGGCTATGGAAGACTTTCGTCTAATGTTATTGGAAAATCAATTTCTTTTGGATCTGGAGGACATAGTGGTGGTGCTGCCAGTTATTCTAGTATTTCTCGTGGATATTCGAAATATTAGAAAAGTAAAGCATTAGAAAATTTAAAATAAAAATACTAAAAAGGTGTTGATATTTGATTAATGTGATAAAATATTTTTATTTTAGTTTTATGTATATATTGTACTACCAAAGTTATGTATATAAATGTGTAAAATATTTGACATACTTCCATTTATTTTATCAGATATCACTTACATATAAGTTAAATCCAATTCAAACCAAAGTACCGGAAAAACTTACTTGTAAAAAAACAGAAAAATACTGGAACCAAAACATTTCTAGAAAAATCCAACTGCTTGAAAGCTGCAAGATGGTGCTAAGTTGGGTTAGATTATATTAAAAGTGTGTTGCTCAGATTAGAGATCGGTGAGAGAAGTTGGAAGAGGCCTATTTATCAGAAAATGGATGACAGAAGGCTAAAAAGAAGAAAAAGAAATGGTCTGCTACTCTTTGTTTAGATACTTAAACCTATGAGCTGTAGGTACTCTGTGCCAACTTCGGCAGGCAGTTTTTTGACCGAGCTTTACAATCCTGTGACAGAAGCGCAAAATATTTCATTTGTGAACAAAATAAATATCGTATGCTGTGTCGATCATCCTGCAGCGCCTTCGGTGATTGGATGATGTTTTTAATGTTGTTTTTCTCGTTTCATACTGTTGTTCTTACTGTCTGTACTGTTGTTGTACTTACACTTACAGCGACGACTCTACGTATCCTGGCGATCCCCAGGCAGATCAACATTTTCACGGGTGTACATTTCATATCAGAAGTCTGTTTTTCCTACTATATCTGTACATTTTTACTACATTTCATTCAACAACAAAAATTAAGAATTATTAAATTACGGTGCGTAACGGTTTCGAATCCTTAACTGAAATGTTTGTATTCAATAAAAAATGTATTCTTATGTTCACTGCCAAGCCAATATTTGTAAAGCCAATAAAACCAAACTTGTACAGTAACATTTACAAAACCGTAAAAGATTTATGCAAAAAAGGTGTCGGTAGATCATGGTATAGTTACGGTACTCATTTAGCCTTAGCATTATATACTATAATTTTCAATTATACTTACCAAATTAATATAAAAATAAATAACTGCAACTAAATATAAATAAACTTCCTGTCAAAAATATTACTAAAGTTTCCAAGAAACAATAAACTATAAATTAACTTTTTATTAATAATATAATATTTAGCATATAATTAACCACTATATACAACCAGAAGCCATTTTTAATATTTTTGTTTAGTATTTTTCGAAATCACATAAATAAACTAATATAATAAATAGAAAATGTTACTGAAGGCAGTTACAAAAACCAGTTATAATAGTTGGTGATTTTAATGTCCATCATACTATTTGGGGTTCAAGTACAAATGATGAAATCGAAATACAGCTAATTAAAATGGCAGATGATCTTGATTTACAGCTTTAAATAATGGACAACCAACAATACTAACTCAACCGAAACAGAATTACTCAATGATTGATGTTACTTTCTGTAGTCCTGATCACGACACACTTACACCGGTATGCTAGATCAAAATCTTAAACGTGTCGGCTTGACGCAGTGACGTCACGGCGAAGCAAGAATACCGCGCGAAATACATTAGATAGCTATTCGTGGCTTTTCTTAACGTTTAGACATATTAATTCGCCGGAGATTTATTTAAAATTAACGTTTGTATATAAAGAAAATAATTATAGTTATGCCTGGGTGTGTCATTTTTTGATGTGTCTTGAGAAGTCGTCTTGAAAAAAATGGATGATTGCATACAGACGTCAAGGTAAAATGAATTTAAAAAATGGCAAATATCTCTTTATATATCTCCCAAAATACAAATTTGTTGAAGGAAATTAACGATATTAATGCAAGATATACTCATATAAACACAATGCTGAAAAAAAATTTTTACTCCTGGTCAAATTGAAGACTTATTAAGGTCTGGAGGTAAAAAGAAACGATAGGCACCAGAAGATATAACATCCGCGATTTCTTTATATATAACCAATAAAAGGTTAATAAGTACCTACCTATTTGCAAAATAAAGTTTAATTCTTTAGATAAAATAAATCGTTTTATTTTATCTGAAATGAGTGCGTTCCACGAAGTAAGGGTTTCAACAATCAAACATCTTTCTTTAATTCTCATTTCATCATTCTTTAATTCCAGGAATCTACGACAGTAATTGACTAGATAATTACCTTCTAAACTTATTCCACAGAAAATGTGATAGTGGGTTTTTCCATTTTGTAGGAAGGTCCAAGTGGCGTATTCAAAATTCTTAACAGTTCACTAAAAGTAGGTACTTCAGTTGCAAGGTGCAGTTTATTGTGTATACTAGTGTTATGGAAAATTTGGAAGTGTCGTATAAACGCCGAAAAATTGGTCCTTTAACAGTTAATGAAAAAACATTAATATTTAATTGTTTTAAATCATTTACAGACAAACGTTTATGTGAAAGTGTTGATGAGACCGTTGAGTTAGTTAGCAGTACACTTGGTGTTGGGAAATCTACGATTTACAGAGTTATTAAAGAAGAGAAATGTGGTAGTTTTCAAATACCACGTAATGCTCCAGGGAAACCAAAATTTCAAATAGAATATCATTTTAAAGAAGGACTTCGACGGAAAGTGCACGAATTCTTCTTTAGACAAGAATTTCCAACATTGGATAAAGTTCTTGTCTCAGTTCGAGATGATAAGGATTACCCAGAAATTAGTCGAAGTTTGTTATGGAAACTTTTAAAAGAAATAGGCTTCCGCTGGAAAAAGAATCACAGAAAGTCTATTTTATTAGAAAGAAGCGATATTGTCATATGGAGAAGACATTTTCTAAGAACCATAAAGGAAATGAGAAAACAAAAAAGAAAAATATTTTATCTTGATGAAACATGGATCAACGAGGGTCATATACCAAATAAATTTTGGCAGGATGAAACTGTTACAAGTCAAAGGCACGCTTTTGTAAATAACTTATCTACTGGTTTAAACCCACCATCAGAAAAGGGACGCAGGCTGATAATAGTACACATTGGCAGTTCAGACGGTTTTGTTGAAGGTGATTTATTAACTTTTGAATCAACTCGTACCGGTGACTACCATGAAGACATGAACGCTGATGTCTTTCAAGAATGGTTCGAACAAATGATAGATCTTCTTCCTAAGAACTGTGTAATAGTAATGGATAATGCAAGTTATCACTCCAGACTTATAGAAGGACTGCCCACAACCAAGTGGTTAAAAAAAGACTTGCAGAATTGGCTGAGTTCAAAAAATATTACGTACCATCCCGGATCTATAAGAAAGGAACTTTATTCGTTGTGTGCCCTTCATAAAGAAAAATTTAAAAAATACGAAATTGATGAAATTGCCAAAAATCGTGGAATGACAGTACTTAGATCCCCACCATATCATTGTGAATTAAACCTGATTGAACTGGTATGGGCACAGATAAAGAGTGAAGTTTCAAGAAAAAATACCACTTTTAAAATTCATGATGTTAAACAGTTGTTTTTGGAGGCCGTAAATAATGTAAAACCTGAAAACTGGGAAAAGGCAGTAAATCACACTATTAAAGAAGAGGAAAAAATGTGGAAGCTGGACAATATTACTGATAAAATGATCGAGCCAGTTATTATAAATCTTGGTTCTGAAAGTTCATCTTCTGAATCTGATTTGGATTTGTAACAAGTAGCTGTAAGTTTTATATTAATATTTTTATTCATCTATTTAGACGGTTTTAAAAACTCTTTTTCTCTTTTGTAATTTTTAAAAATTAAAAAAAATGTGAATTTTTAAAAACCCTTTTAAATGTAGGCCAGTCAGTTCTAATATAGCGTGTGATAAAAGAGGTCACTTTTGTTTACATACACATAACACTTTATAACACTGAAATAATTCATTTATTTTTTACAATTATTCAAAGTAATTTTTCAATTAATCTTGAGCAGGCCCATGGAGTGGTCGGAGGTACCAGTTAAAATTATGCTAATTACTCTCTCGTTCATAAAAATAAACTATAGACGATTTTTTATTATGGAATCGAACACATTACATGAAATAACAATGTAGAGACGAAGAACTGAACAAAAAAGATGTATTCCAGATTGCATGGATACTACTGGCAAGGAATACCGTTTTTCAAGTCCAGGACATTATATGGATATGTTTGATAAATGGGTGAATGCTGTTAAAAGCCCTAATTAGAGAATGCTGCAACACAAACTATTTATAAAAATTTTCGTGTATAGTATATTTGAAGAATAAGCTGTGCACATCTTCTAACTAAAACGTAATCTTAAAAGAAAAGTTTGCGTTAAATTTATTTGTATATTTAGAACAAAGTAATTAATCCAATCCAATACTGATTTAAAATAAAAAAGATACGCAGAAAAAGAATAAAAATTCTATTATTTGTGAAACATACAGTTAATATAAAATAATAAAATACAATATATTATACTGAAACGTAAAATACATATATAAAAACTCTAATGCCCAGTTGCACCAACAGACTGTAAATCAACTGATTTCTAACCGTCAATTCGACGATTTAAATCAACGATCAATGGTTATTTTTCAAACGAGTTGCACCATTCGAAAAAACTACTGGTTTACAAACCGACAATTTATACGTGGCAACATTGCACGAGTACAGATTATTTCGATAATTTCATTCGAATCGGAGTGTGATCTGTCTGCTCGATGGATCTGTCAAAAATATTGTCAACAAAGAAAGTTTTGTAAGGTTATGCCATCGAGTTAGGGTTATGCCAATTAAATAAAATTGAACATTAAACTATTATCATAACATTGTCAAAGACCATTTACACCATGGTCTTTGAACATTGTTTTATTGCAATTTTGTGTGTGTAGTGTTACTTAAGATGGAAAATAAAGGAAGCTACTTGTCTAGTTTAGATAAAGATATAATTTTAGATCTAGCAATTAAATATAAATTTATTATAGAAAATAAACATTCTAAAAAAACACTGTTTTCTTGCTTACTCGATAT